TTTCCCTAGCTCATCCTTGCCTAGTGAGGCTGTCAGAACTGATTTTTTCCCCCATATTGGATGTTATTTGAACAGAGATTCTAAGGTTGTTCTTCATTTCTCCTCAGTATTTGCTATCCTTCCCTGATACTGTTTATATCCTTCTCTGATACTTATGACATGGGCCAGTAATGGTAGCTACATGAAATAGAACAAGTTAAAGATAATCAAGAATGTTAATCAAAAGGTTTAGACAGTAATGCTATTTTGATGTGAGCAGAACATTTTCCTAGTCTTAGATTCTGTGTCACCTCTGGTAACAGCTCAGTGGCACTGAGTATCATCATCTTCTCATTGGCCCCCTTTCTATTTACTTTCTATTTAAACTCACTCCCCTCCTGTGGGACCTTGGGTATTATCACCTGAAGCTGCTTCCTGCTCCACACTCCCGTTTTGTTGGTGATCCTCTGCCTGCTCATGTCCTGGCTCTTCTATGTTCCACAGAACCAGCTGGGCTCCAGGAGGTGCAGGATTTCTTAGGGCGGATCCAGTTCTATCAGCATCTGGGGAAACATAGGAACCTGGTACAGCTGGAAGGCTGCTGCACAGAAAGGCTGCCCCTCTACATGGTACTGGAGGATGTGGCTCAGGGAGACCTGCTCAGCTTCCTCTGGACCTGTCGCCGGGTGAGCAGTAGGGAAGAGGTGTTGTCTGTTATTAGTTGTTCACATGTCAATTAATGTGACAGGTGAGAAAATACAGAAACACCATAATAGCATAACAGTAATTTCAGACTACCACCATCCAATAGAACCTTCTATCTTGACAGAAATAGTCTACAATTACTCTGTCTAATGTGGTAGCCACTAGTCGTATGTGACTGCTGAATGAATGAAATGTGGCTGGTGTGACTGAGAACCTGAGTTTTTAATTTTATTTAATTCTACGTAATATAAATTTAAATAGCCACCTGTGGCTAACGGCTGTCATATTGAACAGCACAAGTTTAGAGAATGGAGTTTAGGCTCCACTTTCTACTAGCTATGCGATTTTGAGCAAGTCACCTCTCTGATCTTGACTTTTCTGAATTTTTAGAATGGGAATAATAATAAATTATTATAAAACAAATTAATTTATGTATGTAAAACAGAAATGGCTGGTACATAGTAAGCCCTGAAAATGGTAGCTGTTAAAACAACTTCACTATCATCAGTAATGAACCTGTTTTTGCTTTTGTTACTGTGAAGGGCATTTCCCAGTCTGTCACGTCAGTGTCAGGTCTCACTCAGGGAGGAATTCAGCTAGTACATTTTTGTACCTCCAGCTTATATTCTTTTAAAGTTAAAATGTTCAAAAATTTCCAGACTCAAACAGAAGTCTTTTTTTAAAATTCATAATTCCCCCAATTCTCTATATATCCCTCTTAAAATTCTACTATTTGCTCTTTCTCACTTGCTAATGAGCAAGTTCGATACTGAGCCTCCTCAATATGCTGGTCATTGAACAACTGAATGAGTATGAAAAATGGACCCCTTTAGTGTCTTCACACAGTATTTTAAACCTTTTTAAGGGAGCTATATATAACTTGTCCTGTTCTATAATAACCACGCTAACTTTATATACGTCTCTCTTCTCTCTCTTGTATAGTTAGTGTCCATTCATCTTTCACACACCATGAAAGGCTTTCCCTGTCTCTCTGACTGCATCAGCTTTTTTCCCCATCAGTCCTTTGGTCACTTAGCACTATGTACATTTTCCTCATGGCACTGACATACGTGTAACTACTTATTTATGTATAATTATTTGATTCTGATTCACATGTGTCTGTCACACAATATGCTCCAGAAGTCAGCAGCAATGTTTATTTTGTCCACGGTCCTTTTCTGAGTTTTTAATGTGGAACCTAGCACATTGCAGGCATTCAGTAAAGATGCATTAGGTAAATATGCTAAATTAATCACACACACACACACACACACACACAGCCTCAGAAAAATGGCTGCTTCATTCAGTGGATAGCCTTGTACATACTTGTCTTTCTTACCTGCATGTTTTATTGTTTTTTCTAGGCTAATGAATTATTGTATTTCTCTGTGTATCTGAAAAATTCCTGTATCACTCTTTGACTCTACTTAAACATCTTAGGGCCAGCCTGAGGCCTGGTTGTTAAGGTGGCTGAACGCCACAAGGTCAGCTGTACTGTTTGAGTCCCAGATCTGGCAGCTTGAGAAACATTCCAGGAGGATGTGCATTTGTGCTCAGAATCTTGAAAGGAGGGACATATGGGGGAGAAGGGATTGTGGGACAACCATCCTCCATGGGTAAGAAGGGTGCTTTTTCACTTTCTGAGAAAGACTGGATGTTTCCCCTCCACCCCAGTGAATGCACGCACCTACTGTCAAATTTAGAGGAAAAAAAGTAAAAACTTTACAACTTTAATTTTAAGTGCCACAAGGCAGATGCTGTCCCCAGAGAGAGACAGAGACTTGGGGGGCAGAAGGAAGAACACATCCCCTAGTGGGCATGATCACACCACAGTCTCTCCTCTATTTCTCCATCCTTTTAGGACTCTGGACATGCATGCACATGCACTTAGCATGTTTCTTGAGCTGCCAGGGCTAGGATTTGAACCAGAGCTGGCCATGTGGGATCTAGCTCCCTTAATCACAAGGCTATGGGGCCAACTCACTTTTTAACTTAGTCCCTTTATTTTTATCTATTTTCCTTAGAGATATTATGAAATGCAGAATATCTCTGCCCTACTTGTTTATTGTTTCTTCAAATCTGTTAATGCCACCTTGATAAGATGCTTTTTGTTTCTGTCTTCTTAGGATGTGATGACAATGGATGGTCTTCTCTATGATCTCACAGAAAAACAAGTATATCATATTGGAAAGCAGGTCCTTTTAGCTTTGGTAAGACATGGAAAAGTGACAGCAAATGTGGACATTTTGCTTAGTAGCCTTATATTTGATGCTGTATTTCCCATATTCATATTCCCAAATGGGATATATATGCTTTAAAAGGAAATAGAAGTTAGAAATGCAAGTACTGATAAATTATTTTTAGTCCCTTCTTTATGGAATTATTTTGATCACATACTGTAGGACTGGTAACTACAGGCAGAAATAAATCAACTTAGGATGTACGAAAGGAACAGGAAAAACTTTAAAAGGTTTCTCAGTCTTAAAGGTCAAAAGCCGGGCCCATTTACTCAGTATTCTTACCTCCCCATCTGTCCTAATAACAACATGTAAAAGGGCATTAGGGAGGTTGACTGAGAAGATATGGGAGAGAAACTGAGTGGGTAAAATGCTACGGAAGCAGAGGACGTATACAATGTTATACCTGGAAAACAAGAAAAGCTAGTTCGGAATGTTGTCTGGTTGGAGACTTGCTTTGATACTGACTGTGATAGGAGGTACTCACATTAAAAAAAATAAATAAGTGGCAAGTAGAGGAAGAGGTAATGAGAAGGAACAACAGTGGGGCCACTCCTTTATTTTAAACCAACTTAGATGAGATCATTCTTTCATTTTTTTAAAATTTATTTTTGTATTTATTTTTAAGTTTTTTTTTCTTTCTTTTTTTGTGTCATAGGGTGCATGCACTCACAGGAGAGAGATAGAGAGAGGAAAAGTGAGAAATCATCCCCTGGGGGGATGGCCATGCCACAAACCCTGCTCTTCCATTCTCCTTCTAGGATTTTGGGCACACACGCACACACACGTGGTGTGAGTTTCAAGCCACCAGGTTCTGGACTTGAACCACAGACAACCATGTGGGAGTCCAGTGCCTTAACCACTATGACACCTGCTAACCTCATTATTCTTTTATTTTAAACAAACTTACTTTTACCAGAATTTTTACCAGGAAATATCCAGACTGTTTCTAGATAATTGTGTTTAAAATGGCGTTTACTTTGTGATAATCAGAGCCCTGTGAAGTTACTATTATAAGTATTTAATGTTTTTTTTCATTTCAAGGTGTGAAATATATCAGAGACCTATATGGAATCAGTAAATGTCAGAGAAAAAGAAGTAGTAAGATGAGAAAGAGCAGTAGTTAGAGTTGAAGCTCCTCAGGGTCAGGAGAGAACATGTGAGATTAATGAACGTTATCTATAGTGTCTGGAGGACCTTGCTGGTATGTTCCCTTGATAAAATTAGAGTGTCTAGATAAAGCCCACCTTGTATTCTGAGCCATAAGTGCAGAGATGCCTCATAGGTAAGAACTGACCAAACTGATGCATTCATCAATGTGACATTACTTGTTACAGGGTAGTATCATACTACTCTTTTGTTGCTTTTAACAATCTCATGCTCAGTATATTCTTTAATTCTTCTTATTACAAAATGGTAATTTTTTCTAAAACCTAACTAGAGACAGAAAGCTGCTAGTCACTGTTTCCCTTATCATCAGTGATCCAAAATTATTACCTTACTCTTCAGTTTTTTGGCCCATTATTCTTGTTTGCTGCTTGTAGACCTCAGTCTCTGGCTCATCAGTCAAGTATAGCTTTTTAGTTTCTCCACATTCCTTGAATAGCTTGCTACTAAAGCAAGTGACTCCAGTACATCAATGTCATCAGGTGCCATGGCTCTCAAATGCATGTGAGCCATACTAAAATCACTTTGATACTTAAAAAAAAAAAGTCATTTTTCTTTTATTATGCTAAGGAGCACAAAGAAAGCATCCACCAATGGGGCCTGGTCCTACAACCTTTTTCTGCATCCTGAAAGGATCCTGGGCACATGCATGTGCACTCAGCTGGAGAGGACTTGAACCCTGGTCAGCCATGTGGGGTCCAGCTTCCTCTGTATAGCACTTAACTGCTGCATTATGAGGCCAGCCCACTTAGTTACTTTCTAAAAGTACAGATTACCAGCTATTCATTCCTAGATTTTAATTTAGTAAATTGAGGCTGAAAATCTTATATTCTTAGAAAGCTCTCAGATGGGCCATGTTGCATGGTGGTATGGTGGTTAAGGGGCTGGATTTACACATGGCTGACCACGGTTTGAGTCCTGGACCTGTATGCATGAAAATCATGCCAGGTATGTGTGCATGTGTGTCCAAAATCCTAGGAGAAGAGAGAATGGTGGACTATAGCATGGCCACCCCTCAGGGGATGACTTCTCACTTTCTGTCTGTCTCTCTCTGGCAAGCACAGGTACCCTATGGCAAAAACCTAAAATAAATAAATAAATAAATAAATAAATAAATGCTCTCAGGCAATTCTGATTTGCAGTCTGGCTTGAGAATGGTAGTAGAGTTTGTGTGGTACTTCCTACATATGAATTAAGATAGCTGGGACTAGCACATGTTATAATGATTACATTACAGGACTCCTACAAAGCTGACCGTGGGTTGAGTCCTGGACCCAGTGGCTTGTAACTCACATCAGGCACATGTGAGTGTGTGTCCAAAATCCCAAGAAGAGAATGGAGCAGAAGGGATTGTGGCATGGCTATCTCCCCTGGGGAGTGATTTCTCACTTTCTGCCTGTCTCTCCAGCAAACGCATGCACCCTATAGCAAAAATCCCTCTTAAAAAGAAAAAAAGCTGGTTCTGGTCACTACCACATAATTACTGTGTGGCCTTGTATAATCATTTAGAGTTATATAAAACATAAGGCCCTCATTTACTTCATCCAGTTATTGTAGGTACAAAATGAGAAATCCACCACCCCTCCACCCCCACCCCAGAGGGGATGGCCATGCCACAGTCCCTTCTCCTCCAGTCTCCTTTTGGGATTTTGGGCATGAATACACACCTGCCTGGCATGTTTGAAGCCACAGGGTCTGGAACTTGAACTGTAGTCAATTATGTGGGAGTCCAGCAACATAACCATTATGCCATCTGCTGGTCCCAAGATGTGAAACTTTCTATACATTCATTATGACACTCAATTTTGCTATGTATTTATCACCTCACTCTGAGGAGTACTGCTAGAATCCTGGAGCCCACATTCTTTCTAATGTTTAGCTGAGACCTACTTGAGAGACAATAAAATCAAGCAGACATCAGTGTCTGACCTAGAATAGATTATTACAATTTTAAAATCCATAGTTAATATCATTTGGCTTTTGTTCAGTTTGGTAATCCTAAACACACTGCAAAAATGTCTAAGTCACTAGTATGCTTTGGAAGGGAAATGTCATTATTAATAAGACAAGTTCAGAGTAAAAAATGTTCTATATCCTTTCGAGGATTCCTAGGACTATCTTTCCTTATTTGTGACCCACAGTCATGGCCTCCAATGACTGATCATCTTTATTGACAGGAATTCTTGCAGGAAAAGCATTTGTTCCATGGGGATGTGGCAGCCAGGAATATTGTGATCCAGAGTGACCTCACTGCCAAGCTCTGTGGACTGGGCCTAGCATATGAAATCCACGCCCGAGGGGCCATATCCCCTACCCGAGCTGTACCTCTCAAGTGGCTCGCCCCAGAACGGCTTCTCCTGAGACCTGCTGGCATCAAAGGAGATGTGTATGGTTTGTTCCTGCCCTTTGGATGTCTTCCTTTCATGCTTGGGTGTCCTTCCTGAACACGACCGGGTCTGTTGCCAATTATATCTTCAAATCAAGTCTCCCCTTAGCCCTACTCTCATGCAGAAATGTTACGTGACAGAGTTCATGTCTCGCACCTGGCTACAAACCTTTTAGTTCCTTTTAAGAATTCTTTCTATATTAGATTTTCAGCCTTAATTAGAAAAAAATGAAAACATAAATTAACATGAATATTTGAGAACTTAATCTAATAAAGTCTCTTCTACATGAAGGAGGTGGGTCCACTTAATCAAAAGGCCAGTTAAAGCAGAAATTATTGAAATAACATTTACAAACCTCAAATAATTTAACTTAGAATATATAAATGTACTTTTATTTATCAATCTTTTCAAGGAGGGAAAAGGTTTCTTTGTATAAAGATGGGCCTACAAAATGAAGCTATATGTTATGTTTCTTGTGTAAACAGCATCATTAATGATTTATTTCTGAGTTACACTTGGGAAGATGATTGAAAGTACAGTGAGAAACTTGAAAATAATCACAAAATAATTTGACTGCAGACCTTGTTATCTTTACTGATATTCTGCAGTTGTCTCATCCACACAATTTGACAGAACTTTTTAGCACTATGTATATATTTTAGGTTTTGCTATGGGGTGTGTGCGCTTACCAGAGACCGAGAGAGGGAAAGTGAGAAACCACCCTCCAGGGAGGAAGGTCAGGCCACAGTGCCTGCTTCTCTAGTATCTTATTGGGATTTGGGGCATGCACGGACGAGCACCTGGCCTGCTTTTCAAGCTACCAGGTCCAGGACTTAAAAACTATAGTCATCCATGTGGGATCCAGTGGCTTAGCATCCATGCCACCTGCTGGTCCTGTTTTTTTTTTCTTTTTAATTCTTTCATGAGAGAGATAGAGAGACAGCACCCTTTACAGGGTCTCTCCATACTGTGATCCTTCCCTCAGCCCCCTGGCCAGCGAGGATCACAGGCAAACAAGGGCATGCTCAGCATGTTCAGGTTGATCTGGTGCCCAAACCCGGGCCTCCCATGTGACTGCAGTATCATGTAGTAGCACCCTACTGTCTGTCATTACAGACAGGCCAGCAGCATGTTTTTGTAGAGTATTTTCAAAGTGCTCAACTTAATTTTCAGGGAGATAACATTCCCTGCATTTATATTTAATTAGTTTATGTAATATTTAACTGATTACATAGCTACACATAATTACAGTTACATGTACAGTTAGCACAAGCAGGACTATAAAGAATCACAGCTGACTTTTGCTTATCATATAACTCAACTGCTTACAGAAGTGCACACATGTAAAGTAGAATACCTATTAACCATCAATGTCATAGGCAGCAGAAGAAATTTAGAACATCAGTTAATATGGTGAGTCAGTTAGGAGACGTCCATTGCTGCTTGACTGACATCAGCTTTTTCGTTCAGATAGTGGAATAAGCTTTACTGTAAAGTACTATTCATTAATGATGATATTACAGAATAGTGAACATACAAACTTTCAACAGATATTGCTTAGGCAAATACCTATGCCAACGATGTAGATACCTTGCCCTGTTCATTTCCCCCTAGGTTTGGGCAATTAGAAAATAATGAGAAAACAGTGGATAAGTGATAAGTCTTGCTTGGCCTTGAGCTAGGAATAAAAGCTGGAGTTTCAGCAGAGAAGGATAAAAAGAAAATGATGCAGAAAGAAATTTATGTTTGGGTCAATATGTTTGATTGCATTTACACGCACACACACACACACACACACACACACACCACAGAACAGTAGACATCTATTTATGTGAAATATAGTGGGAAAAAGGGATGGATCCAGCCCTGAAAGAGATTGGAATCTAAGAGGATGAAACAGATACATTCTTATTTTGGAGAGGTTTTTGCTATAGGGCGCGTGCGCTTGCCAGACAGACAGAGACAGACAGAGCGATAGAAAGCGAGAAATCACCCCCCAGGGGGGATGGCCACGCTGCAATCCCTTCTCCTCCATTCTCCTCTCGGGATCTTGGGCACACATGGACACGCGCCTGGCATGAGTTTTAAGCCACCAAGTCCGGGACGTGAACCACGGTTGACTACATGGGAGTCCAGCGACATAGCCATTACGCTAACTGCTGGTCCCGAATCAAATACATTCTAATAACAGTTTTGTTTTGCTTATTTTATCACTCACTCGTGATTCTCCTTCATTGCCTTCTTTATGTGGTTCTTACCGAGGACTTCTGGTATTTAAGCGTGTTTTAGGAAAGGCAGAAATAGAAACGATATTAAGTAGATGGCTTTGTTTCTTTTACAGCTGGTCTTTTGGGATCCTGCTCTATGAGATGGTGACTCTAGGTAAGTATGCTCTCCAGAGACTATGTATGCAGACATGTGAGCACATGTTTATTCAGGTGGTGGATGCTGTATGCTTTGAGAAGGGGTTGCAGCACAGCCTCTGAGTTTGAACTGGGCTCACGTGAAATTCCAGCCTGATTCCTGAGATAGTCTTATATCACACTCCCTACCCCCCATCTTTTACTTAAGCTTCTTTTGCTCTTTTTCTCCCTCCGCCTCCCTCCCCTCTTCCCCCCCACCTGCCCTGCCAAAACATTACCAAATCCAAGGGATGTTTTAAAATCCAAAGGATAATTCCCAGGGTGATTTGATTGAGAAAAATGCAGTGCAGCACTTCCCATGTTATAGGGAGTGCAAAAGAAATCTTAAGTCTTATGTTGCCTTATTTTATTACTTTCCTACATTTGAGATTCCCCTAACCTTGGCTCTTCCCCTCTCCCAAAAAAAACCCTTTTTCCAAAATTCACTGAGCTGTGTATACCCTGCTTTGATCATCCGTGAGCAACTGTACTGTATCTACAATTTTTGATATAGCTATATCCTTTTGGCAGGCAATTAGCCTGAGGGGATGGAGGGCAGAGTTAGTTACAGTTTGCATTTTTTTTTTTTTTTTTTTTTTTAGATTTTTGCTATAGGACATATGTGTACTCACCAGAGACAGAAAGTGAGAAATCACCCCCCAGGGAGGATGGCCACGCTGTAATCCATTTTCTGCCAGTCTCCTCTCAGGATGTGGGCATGCACACGCCCAGCATGTTTTAAGCCTCCAGTTCCAGGACTCAAACCATGGTCAACTACTTGGAATCCAGTGACATAAGCATTACGCCAGCTGCTGGTTCCTACAGTTCACATTTTAGAGGGCTCTAAGGTTCTCTTGCCTTTTCTCATTCTTTCCGTATTGAAAGGAGCACCACCGTACCCTGAAGTCCCACCTACCAGCATCCTACAGCATCTTCAGAGAGGAAAAACCATGAAGAGACCCAGTAGCTGCACACAAACCATGTAAGTGACTTTCAAAGGCCTGCTCTTCTCTTGTTCCAGATCGTTTTTGCTCCTTGTCAATTATGCCTTTTTCAAAGTGACATACATGATATTCAGCTGTCCTTCTGTGTTCATGCACAGCCTTAGACCAAACCCAGACAGTAACATACAGCTGCTGATATGTCATATATGCATGCATATCATGTATAACACACACAACATTGAGGCAATCACTGGGAACTACATTAGAAATCTAGTTCTGATAATGTTTAGTTCCACAGAAAGCTTCTAAAATAGGTAGAAAAAGAATTAAAGCCAATGCAAGTATAGTGGTGCTTTAGTGTCTGTTAGTCTTCTGCCAATCTCCATTTAAATCGCGTCAGGACCAGGAGTTGGTGTAATGGCTATGTGCTGGACTCCCACGTTCAGGTCCCACACCCAGTGACTTAAACTCATGCCAAGCATGTGTGCGTGCGTGCACAAGATCCCGAGAGGAGAATGGAGGAGAAGGGATTGCGGCATGGCCATCCCCTCTGGGGGGTGATTTCTCACTTTCTGTCTCTCTGTCCCTCTTTGTCTTTCTGGCGAGTGCACGCACCCTATAGCAAAAAACTCTGCAAAACAAAACAAAACAAAATATGTGTCATAAAATTCACTGTACCAGAGTTATTCATTGAGAGTGTATCAGCTCTCATATAATATTTAAGTTTGAAAAGTTATCAACTGTTTTCCCAGTTTTCAGAAAGAAACCAACCAGAAGAAGGGAGGGGGTCAGGGATAAGGAAAATTTAGAAAGGTAGAAGGAGGATCCTTTATTTCTGTAGAAAGAGACAGTTGGCAAACCAATGTAGAGACAGAAAATGGAAAATTAAAAATTACACACAGAATTTTATTTCCAATGAAGTTTAAAAAGGGGCTGTTGTAGAATACAAGAAAAAGTTAAGTTATGTATAAGAAGGAAGCAGAGAATATATTGTTTCTATTAGAACTGGTGTTATTTTGTAGGGACCAGCAGTTAGCATAATGGCTATGTCACTAGACTCCCATATAGTCGACCACAGTATGAGTTCCCGACCCGGTGGCTTAAATTCACACTGGGTGCATGTGTGTGCATACCCAGGATCCCCAGAGGAGAATGAAAGAGAAAAGACTACAGAGTAGCCATTCCCCCTGAAGGATGATTCCTTGCTTTCTGTCTCTTTGTCCTTCTGGTGAGCGCACACGCCCTGTAGCAAAAACCTCTCCAAAAAAAGGAGAAAAAGATCAGCAGAGGAAAATGCAGTCAAAATCTACGGAAGCACCCTTGCACCAATTAGGCTGAACTAAATGGTACATAAGGCCAGAGAGTGACATATGACCACCTTCATCAGCTTGAAAATCAACTCTTGTAACACCAATTTTGTGTTCCACTGTGACCACCACTTCTCTTCTGCTCAACATGCAGTATCATGTAAGTCAAGTAACCTATTCCACTGCCAGCTTGCTCTGAAGCTTCTGAGAAAGGAATTGGATCCTATAAAGTGGATCTGAAGGTTCAATGCAGCCGGCAGAGGTGCTCTGGCTATGAACATGGGGATATGTGTATCTCTCTGCATATCAGCACTGGGGTCTCTGGATGCTTGAGCAGCCTACTATTTCTAAATGGGAAACTAGTATAAATTGGTCCCTGCAAGGGATGGAGTTAAAAAAGATTTATTTCTTAATATCTACTTATAGAAAGTATTCACCATCTGCTGTTTACTGGAGGAGTCAAATTAAACAAATTGTGTGATGTTAAATAAGAAAGTTAAAGATAAATCTAAAATAATGCTACTCTCTGCACTGGAGATATTTTTTCCTGTCTGTTGTATTTAGTTATGTTGGTTCAAGTAAAAATGTGAACTTTACACTATTATTATGTGTCCCAAGGGGCCAGAGGCTATCTTTTTCCTTACCTGGCTCAATCGTGATCACCATGCCGGGTTGCAGAGGAAGAGAGCGGGGCATGTCTGGAGTATCATGGACATCCATCCCCAGGTAATGGCCTACATGATGAGGGCAGTATTTCCGAGCAGCCTGCAAAAGACAATTATCACAATATTACTGGAACAAATAACTTTTTTGCTATAGGACATATGTGTACTCACCAGAGACAGAAAGTGAGAAATCACCCCCCAGGGAGGATGGCCACGCTGTAATCCATTTTCTGCCAGTCTCCTCTCAGGATGTGGGCATGCACACGCCCAGCATGTTTTAAGCCTCCAGTTCCAGGACTCAAACCATGGTCAACTACTTGGAATCCAGTGACATAAGCATTACGCCAGCTGCTGGTTCCTACAGTTCACATTTTAGAGGGCTCTAAGGTTCTCTTGCCTTTTCTCATTCTTTCCGTATTGAAAGGAGCACCACCGTACCCTGAAGTCCCACCTACCAGCATCCTACAGCATCTTCAGAGAGGAAAAACCATGAAGAGACCCAGTAGCTGCACACAAACCATGTAAGTGACTTTCAAAGGCCTGCTCTTCTCTTGTTCCAGATCGTTTTTGCTCCTTGTCAATTATGCCTTTTTCAAAGTGACATACATGATATTCAGCTGTCCTTCTGTGTTCATGCACAGCCTTAGACCAAACCCAGACAGTAACATACAGCTGCTGATATGTCATATATGCATGCATATCATGTATAACACACACAACATTGAGGCAATCACTGGGAACTACATTAGAAATCTAGTTCTGATAATGTTTAGTTCCACAGAAAGCTTCTAAAATAGGTAGAAAAAGAATTAAAGCCAATGCAAGTATAGTGGTGCTTTAGTGTCTGTTAGTCTTCTGCCAATCTCCATTTAAATCGCGTCAGGACCAGGAGTTGGTGTAATGGCTATGTGCTGGACTCCCACGTTCAGGTCCCACACCCAGTGACTTAAACTCATGCCAAGCATGTGTGCGTGCGTGCACAAGATCCCGAGAGGAGAATGGAGGAGAAGGGATTGCGGCATGGCCATCCCCTCTGGGGGGTGATTTCTCACTTTCTGTCTCTCTGTCCCTCTTTGTCTTTCTGGCGAGTGCACGCACCCTATAGCAAAAAACTCTGCAAAACAAAACAAAACAAAATATGTGTCATAAAATTCACTGTACCAGAGTTATTCATTGAGAGTGTATCAGCTCTCATATAATATTTAAGTTTGAAAAGTTATCAACTGTTTTCCCAGTTTTCAGAAAGAAACCAACCAGAAGAAGGGAGGGGGTCAGGGATAAGGAAAATTTAGAAAGGTAGAAGGAGGATCCTTTATTTCTGTAGAAAGAGACAGTTGGCAAACCAATGTAGAGACAGAAAATGGAAAATTAAAAATTACACACAGAATTTTATTTCCAATGAAGTTTAAAAAGGGGCTGTTGTAGAATACAAGAAAAAGTTAAGTTATGTATAAGAAGGAAGCAGAGAATATATTGTTTCTATTAGAACTGGTGTTATTTTGTAGGGACCAGCAGTTAGCATAATGGCTATGTCACTAGACTCCCATATAGTCGACCACAGTATGAGTTCCCGACCCGGTGGCTTAAATTCACACTGGGCATGTGGGCATGCGTGTCCAAGATCCTGAGAGGAGAATGGAGGAGAAGGGATTGTGCGTGGCCATCCCCAATGGGGGGGGGGGGTGATTTCTTGCTTTCTGTCTCTCTGTCACTCTCTGTCTTTCTGGCGAACGCATGCGCCCTATAGCAAAAACCTCTCAAAAAAAAAAAAATAAAAGAACATGTTATTTTGTAAATTTTTTAGCACTGAAAGGGTAAATTTCTAGCACCTCATTTTTCCTACCAAAACAATAGTGTATTAAGTACATTATAAAGTTTAAAAAGCTTACTCCTATATATGTACACACTCACAGAGAATATAGTCATGTTGGATGGGTATTCTACAATGAAATTCCTCACAAATGTTTCTCACAGGCTTTCCATTTATAAAAGACTGTCTTTGACAGTGGGGAAACACTTAGCTAGTGAAAACCTGACCAGAAAGAATTTAACATTTTGATGAGGAGATATCTATGTCAACACCAAAATAAACACTAAAATAAAATATGCAGCCATATATGGCAGAATGATTAAAAGCTTGGTCTCATGTTATAGAGCAGTGGTCTGCAACTTTTTTGGTACCAGGGACCAGTTTCATTGGAGACAAATTTTCCCTGGACTGAAGGGAGGAGCTAATTTATGAGAGCATGAGGCCTAGATCCCTCATGTGCACAGTTCACAATAGGGTTTGTGCTCCCATGAGACTCGAATGAGGCGGAGCTCAGGCAGTCATTCCCGTGATAGGGGCACACTGTAAATACAGATGAAGCTTTACTCGCCTGACTGCTGCTCACCTGCTGTGCGGCCTGTTTGCTAACAGGTCACAGACCATGGGGTTGAGGACCTGTTACAGAGTACAAAGGACACATGCTCAGTCCTAGCCCTGTTACTATACTATTAATATACATTATTTATAATATACAATAAATAATGTACAGTGAAAAAATCGTCCATAGCATACTTTTGGAGTTTAAAAATCTAACACATTCCTGTTATAAAAGAGGATCCATTCAGGAGATGATACTGAGACTGATATGAGGAGGAGGGGAAGGAATATCGGTCTATGGAGAAGAATGAGAGGGCAAAGAGAAGATGAAAGAATTGCAGGGATTTTTGTTACGGTTTGTTCCTCATTTGCTTTGTCAAGGAAGTCAGTTTTTGTTTCCCTTCCAGGTATAGTATTATGAAGTCCTGCTGGCGCTGGAATGAGGACAATCGCCCCTCACCTAGAGAGCTATACTTGCGCCTTGAAGCTGCAGCTAAAACCGCAGATGACAAAGCTGTGTTGCAAGTACCAGAGCTGGTGGTGCCTGAACTGTATGCAGCTGTGGCCGGCATCACTGTGGAGAGCCTGTCTTACAACTACAGTGTCCTTTGAAGACATCCAGGCAAAAGCCACTTTCTGGTGATTATATGCTCTTAGAACTACTTCCTCCAAGAACAGAGGACATAAAAGGAGAAATGGGACATGGATCCTCGATCTTGCTCTACACATTTCTTTAGATACCTGAAACGATGCGGGGTGAGGCTCTACATATCATATGCCCTCGAGCTGGGAAATGCTGTCAGTCTCATTTCTGCTGTTCCAGTCCTAAAATCTCTGGGTAGGACTGGTGCACAGAGTCACTGAGGAGGGTTAGAAAGCTGCAATGTTTCTTGGGGAATGGCACAATTAAGCTGGTCCCTCTCACCTCAGGTCCGTTTCCTTCTGAGCCATGTTTTATCTAGACAATGACAAAGTCCAGAGGAATTTGGAATGAAATGAGGAAACAAAAATACAATAAATCAGTGGAGAAAGAAAATTGAAGGTTCTATTTGCTCAGTGTGGACCAAGACCTTTTTCAAAGAGAAGGTGGAAGGACATGAAATTCTTTAGTCCTGGTCCCTTCATGTAGGTTTGGAGGAGAACTATAAAGATGATGTCTAATTTTCCCCTTGGGATAGGAGGAAAATGGCCCTCTTTTATCTAATTTTGAGATAGGTGAACCCTGTTTGGTACTGCTTTTAGTTAGAAGCAGGAGGAGGCATTTCATACTTAAGAACATTCAACATGTTTTGTTCATCAGATTCACTTCCTTGTTCCTGTAAGACTAAGGAGACTAAGCCTAGAGAGTAAAAGCTTAGAAGTAAAAATGTGTGTATATGTCTAATAAATAGTAAATGTGGAAACCAAGCAAGAAAGCTTAGTAGTTTAAATGGTCTTTAATGAAGGCTAGGAAAGAATGTATTCTGATATAGAGGGATTATAGCTTCCAATTCCCCATCATCCATTGATGTACTGTGAAACTTATATCATTAAATTAATATTTATTGAGTGGAAGTAGTTTCTTCTGGTATTTAACAGCCAAAATCTCTACAATATGGAAGATAAAAGGAAATGAAGGACGTTAATGCCAATGCAAAAATTCAAGAGAAAACCTACATTGTCAGAAAAATTTTTTATGTGTAAAAGAGATAATACCTACCTCACAAGGTTGTTGTGAGGATTGTATGTGTTATTTGTTATTGTTATGAGGATATGTATTTGCAAAGTATCTGGCACATAATACGTGCTCAATAAATGTTAGTTTCCTTTCTTCTGCCCTTTCTTTTTCTTTTTTTTAAGAGGTTTTTGCCATAGGGTGCATGTGCTTGCTGGAGAGAAGGACAGAGAGAGAGAGAGAGAAAGCGAGAAATTATCCTCCAGGAAAGATGGCCATGCCGCAATCCCTTTATCCTCCATTTACCTCCTAGGATCTTGGGCACACATGCATGTGCGCTGGTGTGATTTTCTCCACTGGGTCTGGAACTCAAACTGTGGTCAGCCATGTGGGAGTCCAGCAACATAACCACTATGCCACCTGCTTGCCCCTCTTCTGCCCTTTCTTATCTAGGATCTTTCATATTGTTTTAATTTAAAATATACTGGGGCCAAGAAGAGAACCTTGAGTTGTAATACTGCAACAGAGGGTATTGTCTGAAGATGATGGTATGGTACAAGCACCACATGACTAAAAGGATGATCATCATTTTTGTGTGAGCTTTTAGATGATAGAAGTTCCCTACTACTTTAAACTACTGACATTATCATGATGACAGCAATTCTATTGGACATGATTTGTGACTTCAAAGAAACTGTGGACATCTGAGGCTACTGTCAGGGGAAGGGTAATGGCTTTGCACAAAAAGATACAATCCTGTGGAATCCCATTGCTGTCTTTTAGCTATTGATTCAAATCAAATCTACAAAGTATTTATTTATTTGAATATTTAAAAAAATTGAGTGCTAGGGCTCACTGTGCCAAACCCTAAGCTAGGAGTTAGATAGAGCTTTTAAATAGTTTAGAAGAGACATCATCTATCTATTTGTGTGAGATATCTGTTAATTACAAATTGTGTGAAGTGCTATAAAGAAAAAGCATAGGATAGTAGAAGGGAATATAGGGGACTTTAAAAAGTTTGTGGAAAAATGGAATTAAGGTACGAGTTTATTTTGGTGCAAAAACATTTGTTCGAAGTCCATGTATAGTTTTTCATAATACATATTTTCCATGAACTTTTGAAGACCTCCCCCATACAAAATGAAGACTTTGCTAAAGAAATGGCAATTAAACCAAGACCTCAGATACAAATAAGGCAGCAAAGAGTGAGAAGAATTTCCCAGCAGTAGGTCATGCTTGTTAAAACTCAGGTAAGAAAAGTCATGCTTGTTTGAAGAACTGAAGAAGCACATGGAACTGCAGCAGGATGCAATAAAGGGTAAGTGGCACAGAATGAAGTGAAGGATTGCTCTTTCATACTGTATGTTTATATTAGGCTGTCAGAAAAGTCATGACACATTTTTGCATAGAAAAATACATCATAACTTTCCAACAACCTAGTATTTGTTTCAATAGGAAGGAAAAAGAAGATAGCTGGCACTTAAATTTTACCCCTAATTTTATGTTTTTCTTGAAATAGGTCTAGAAAACTGGATAATTTTTACTCTAAGAAAATTGGGGACAAGTCTGTGGCATGGTAGTTAAGGGGGCTGGATTCCACATGGCTAACCACATGGTTCAAGTGGCTTGAGAAATATGCCAGGTACATGTGTATGCCCAGCATCCCAAAAGGACAAGAAGGAATTGTGGCATAACAATCCCTTGTGTAGAGTGCTTTTTATTTTCAATTATTTATTTATTTAATTTTATTTGTTATTAACATTATTATTTTTTAATTTGACCAGGCAGAGAGAGAGAGAGAGAGAGAGAGAGAGAGAAAGGGAAAGTGAGAGAGCAAGCCACGAAGTCCGGGACTCGAATCATGGTCGGCCATGTGGGAATCCAGCGTCCCAACCGCCACGCCACCTGCCTGCTCCGTGTAGAGTACTTTTTCACTCTGTCTCTGGCAAGTGCCCGCTGGCAAACTCAAAAAAAAAAAAGAAAAAAAAATGAATACATCGTCTTTCCCCTTACTTTGGTGTTCTCCCCTCCCCTGCAAAGAAAGGAGAATTATATTTCTGGGGTTATAGTTCTGTCATTTTGACCTGTTGACCAAACTAGGTATTTTCCAGCTAATGAATGGAAGAGAATGAAAATATTTACCATCTAAATTGAGTTCTAATAGATTTTGTTTTATTGTTTGATTGCCTCCTCCCCCAGTCTTATTTTTCCAATCTGTGCTTTATTGTTTAAAAAAATTCCAACAGTTAAGAACTGAGCAAGCACCCGCCTAGATGCAGTGTCTTGAAACTGTACACTTGACAAGATACTTTGACATGGAATAGTCTGAACCGACACTTCTCAAATTATGTTCCTGCAGAATACTAGTGTTTCTCATGCTAGATTTAGATATTCTGTTATTAAAATTGAATAATAGTGGTGTTTTCAACGTTTGTTTTAAAAAGTAAGCCAATGGATAGAATCTTCTTAATCTTAACCTTTTTGCAATAATTTTTAAAAATTGAGGCTGGATGATGGCACAGCAGTGAAATGTGACACTCTGTAAGTCTGACCCACATAGGAAGGCTCTGAGTTTGCGTCCATAGACCTCCCTGAGTACTCCAGGATGTATGTGCCATGATCAGGGCATGACTGAAGCTGGGAGTGGATAGTGATGTCAAACTGTTGGGGTGAGGTTCTCTTTTTCCCTGTCTCTCATCCGTGGAAGAAATAAATAAACTTAATCTTTTTTTTTCTTTTCCATACTCATTTAAATAAACAACCAACAAACACAAAGAAAGACCAGAGGATAGCCTACTACCCTTAACTTAACAAACAGTGTTTTAGGTATGAGTTGGAGGTTATGGTATGTGTTTGAAGAATATAATAAGATACTGGAATAAATTCTTAGATTAAATAATGCAATTAAACATATCATCATATCATGATAATCTAGATATAGCTCCAAGTGTTCACCATATATGAGCATACCTGATTAACAACAGGATGGGAAGTTTGTTGTTTCTACATGATGGTAATTCCCTTATTTAAAAAGTAGTACTACTAAGTGGGAAAAAGATAGATGGCTAAAATCCAGTGCGAACTCTATTACAAGAAAAGGGAAGAGAAGGGTAGGCAGATGGAATAAGGACTGACACAGACTACTACATTCTGCCTTAAAAAAAAAAAAGATATGCTACCCCATCATGTTTTTAGACCATATATTCTTTTTTGTTGTTATTGGAAGAGGGCACATGTATATATACACCAGAGGGAGAAAGAGAGCCAAAGAAAGTACCTTCCTGCTACAACAGGGCTTGGTCATGCCACAATCCCTTTTTCCTCATTTCTGCACCCCATTAGGATTCTGGGTATAGATGCACATGACTGGTGTGTTTTTCAAGCCACTGTGGCCAGGACTCAAAAACGTTGGCCACCTGAGATCCAACTCCCTTTGCACAGAGCTCTACTACTGCACTGTGGGGCTGGTCCAGCCATATGATAGTCTTATTCTTTTTATTTTAAACTTTCCTTCTTTCCTTTTTCTAAAAGAGAGAGAGAGAGAATGAGTGAGGGATCGGATCCCTCCAAGCTCAATGTGCAGAAGTCAGGTCTTGGGATGCAAATCCAGGACCTTCTCACGTGGGTGCAGTTGTCTTATAGCTGTGCCACCATCTTGTCCCAGATATTATTAACTTACTACTTTGCTACATTTAACTGAGGAAGATGGCCCTGACAATTTCTTTTTTTTTGGAGAAGTTTTTGCTAAAAGGCACGTGCGCTCGCCAGAAAGGCCAGAGAGACAGAGAGACAGAAAGCGAGAAATCACCCCCCTGGGGGGGGGCGGTGGCCACGCCACAATCCCTTCTCCTCCATTCTCCTCTCGGGATCTTGGGCACTCACGCACACGCGCCTGGTGTATTGAATTTAAGCCACTGGGTATGGGACTCGAACTGCAGGCGGCTACATGGGAGTCCAGTGACATAGCCACTGTGCCAACTCCTGCCCCCCCCCCCCTTTTTTTTTTTGGCCCTGACAATTTCTATTCTGTAAATACAAAATTCATGCTAATCAAAATTAATTGCTAAAACAGGGGCTGGATGGTGACTTAACAGTAATGCAAATGGGTCCACGTAGGAAAGTACTGGGTTTGCTTCCTGGGGCCACCCTGTATACACCAGTGCTTGGGAGTGCATGAAATCCAGGTTGGCTGTACTTGTTTTTCTCTCTGTCTCTCTCTCATGGAATAAATAAAATTAAAAACAAAAACCATGAGACTACTGTCTTTAATGTTAGTCACAATTTGAGCTTGTTTCTGAAAATTGGAAGTTGGAATTATTTGATCATTTTAAATTAAGTGCAAGAAGGCAAAAAGGTAGGAGGACAAAGAACATAAAAGTGAGCTGAACATGGGGCAGGCAGGTGGTGTGGTGGTTAAAGGCACTACTGGACTCCCACGTATAGTAGACCATGGTTCAAGTCCCAGACCTGGTGGCTTGCTTTCTCATTTTCCCTCTCTCTCTGATCAAACTGAAAAAAAAAATAATAATAAAGTTAAATAAAATAATTCTTTAAAAAAGGTGAAATCAACAGAGGAGACTTTTAGATGCATCAATAGAAAAAAATTAGCAAAACATTTCAAAGATTAAAAAATAGCAATTTTAAGAACCATCTCTGGGTCCAGCAGATGGTGTAATGGTTATGTCACAGGAATCTCATGCAGTCGACCACGGTTAGAGTCCTGAACCTGCTGGTTTAAAACTTACGCCAGGCATGTGTGTGTGTGTGTGTGTGTGGGTGCAAAAAAATCCCAAGAGGAAAATGAGGAGAAGGGATTGCAGTGTGGCCATCCCCCCTGGGGGGTGATTTCTTGCTTTCTACCTCTCTGTCTTTCTGTATATCTGGTGAGGGCACTCTCTAACAAAAATCTCTCAAAGGAAAAAAATGTTAGTGTAAATGAACCAAAATTAGTAATTCACTTCCTTAGTTAGACTGGCCATGTTTCAAGTGTTCAGTAGCCATATGGGACATTTCCACATCACTGATGTGTGACATCTAAGACCACAAAACACAAAAGCTTTATTACTTTGTACTTCTTTTCATGATACACTGGGCACATTTTTGCTTTAAAACATTTAGAGTTAGGTAAACATTATTTCATATTTCACATTAAAAGCAGGGCTATAAAGGATATTCTTGAATTCATAAGTCTTTTTAGGGAATCAAGACAATAATCGGTTCACTTCCAAAAATCTTTGTGTGCTCCATATCCCCTATTTACAGAGTCACAAATTCTTTTATCGATAGCTCGATTTATTTTGGCACATAGATAAACACTGATACATGCACCAAAACCTGAAAATGCATTAGGGAATCTAAAGATATTGAGTGAGGCTTCCATATAAATCAATGTGTGGGTTATAACTGATTTTTTTCAGAGATATCATAGAATATTATGTTCATGTTTCTGTGAATTTATTTTTTAAGTATGGTACCGACTCATCCCCTCTGTCCTGAGACTTTCTAGGATTAAAACTGAAAGTCCCACATCCCAGGAAAAGCCACAGAACTGGACAAACTGGAATGGGTAGTCCTCCTAGTAGAAAGCATAGAGCTTGTGTTTTTCATGTATTTGGAACTGAATAGCTTTTCTACAATAATAACTATATAACTGTTAATATACACTCAAAGTAACCTGGTCTGATCGATCTGCCTTCCCATAGTCATTCCACTTCCATGAACTTCCAGGTCCTACCTATTACTGAATTTTTTTGTCTTCCCCAAACCTGCATTTTCACACCACTGTGCCTTTAGGCAGTTTTCTGCCTCAAAGCTTTTTTATTCCATACAAAATATACAGAGCTACCCATCCAGGTAACACCTCTTCTCACAGCCTTCTCCAATATTCTTTTTTTCCCCAAATTCTCCACACTACAACAGAATACGGCTTCATCTGCTGTCCTGCCAGGTCATTTGCATGCATTCTTTATCATATCAGTGGCTCCGTCTGTGCTGATACCTGCTTTACATGTTTGCTTTCTTTTCTGGACCATAATTGCAAATGGTTCTTTTTGTTACTAGTGTTTAACTTTCTGGCACACAGAAATTGCTTGTTCAAGCTTGTGGTTTTTAAATTTTACATTTTTTTAAAATCTCATTTGATTATTTCAAAAATTCAGTGAGTTTGACAGATCTTATTACTTTCCATCTACTCGGTGGATGTACAAACAGGCTCAGACATAGTGATGACCAAGTAGCAGTGTGGACAGAAGCCTGATAGTAGTAATGTCAGGATTGAATCCCAGATCTTCTGCCATTTTCTACTACAATAAATCCCACAGAGGTTAACTGTCACCAAACAGGATTACGCTTTGTGCTGGTGACAAAAGAGTGATCAATATTTGGAAAGCAGACTATGAAAGCTCACCCCGTCCTTCCAAACCACCTTACACTGCAGCATTCTTTCACTTCTCCAATTTAATTCTGACTGGGAAAAACGTAGACTAACTCATTATATAAATTTAAATCGAGTAAGTCAAATTACCAAAACTCCACCTGTTAATAAAGGTTGACCGTTACGACTCAGTGAATGAAGAAGGGTCTATGTACCTTAGAACTTCCATTAAAAGCATCTCTTTTATACCATGGCTGTCGGGGTTGTTCAGTTTCATGTGCTTTTCAAACCCCCGGCCTCGTCTCTGATGGAGTCCTTCTACTTTCTAATTTCAGGCTTCCAGCTGCCGAACAACTAGCAATCATCTAAACGGGAAAGCCCCCAGTTAGGAATGAAGCGGGAAAAACAGGCCGGTTCTCGCTGGCCGCTCTGATTCTGGACTTGATCTTCACTCCTCGCACCAGGGAAAGTTGAGCACAGCCACACCCACTCGGAAGATGGCGTGAGAACCCACTAGCGAAAAGCAAGAAAGCTAGCAAGCCGGAGCGCTAAATCCATTAAAAACTCTATCATATTCTTTATTAACTCTGCTCTTTGCAAATATCACACTTATATCCTTTACTGATATAATATAATTCACTTAATTTTGAAATGAATGCGCTTCCAATCCCACTAAAGCGAAGGTCTCGTCACTGCGACCCTCCCTTCGGAGCTTCCGGGGCCCTCCATGCTTCCTCCGGAGGGCCTCTGGAGGCGGAAGGGACGCGCCCGCACGTGACGCACTTATCCTGGGCGGCTGACGTCACTCCCGGGCGACAGGCGGCACGTCTGCTGGGCTTTCGGCGGGCTTTTGGCGGGCTTCCAGGGGGCAGTCATGGCTATGGCTAGCGATTTCTACCTGCGCTACTACGTAGGGCACAAGGGCAAGTTTGGACACGAGTTTCTGGAGTTCGAGTTTCGGCCAGACGGTGAGCAAAGGAGGGAAAGTCGGGGAGAGACCGCGGAGGCGGCGAGGCGAGGCGGGTGGGGAGAGCGAGCCTTGAGCCTTGGTGGGCTACAGACTGTACAGGGGCGACTGAGGCCCTTACTTCAGCCGAAAGTAGTGCGAGCTTAAGAATATGGGGTGTGAAAAAAAGAAAATTAATTGCTTTAAATCAACTCAGAAAGCTAATCCTGTGATTATAAACTTACTTCACTAATTAAGAATACTAGAATCCGCGCACTACAGAGACTTTAAAGGTCTCGGAAGTAACGAACTCTTGCTTGAACATTTCTGACACTCCCACCGGTAGTGGTCCAGTGGATTCCTTAAATCTGTCGGTGATCTGTAACGTTCAGCCTACTCGTTCATTCATTTCGTTCATTCAGGCTGTGTGTGTTAAGACCGCTTTGAGGGCCAAGGACCCGACGTACAAACAAATAAGTGTTTCACAGGCTTACATAAAGTGGTTCACCGTAGACTATATTGGGGCAAGGTTAGTTCTACAGGAGAGTCAGGAAAAGCTTCCTGGATGGTGAGACACTTGAGTTATTAATGAGTATTGAAGTGAGAGAGTAGATATTTTCTTGACTTCTGAGGAGAGAAAAGACGTCTAGAGCAGCGTGGGCGGAGGGCTAGGTGAAACTGCTCTCCGTGCAGTGTACTGCAACTCTCTCCTTTTTTGGAGGGGTCGGGGAGAGGTTTTGGCTATAGGGTACATGTGTTCACCAGAAAGACATAGAGAAAATGAGAAATCACCCTCTGGGGAGGATGGCCACGATGCAATCCCTTCTCCTCCATTCTCCTCTTGGGATCTTGGGCACGCTGGCACACACGTCGGGTGTGAATTTAAGCCACCGGGTCCGGGACTTCAACCGAGGTTGACTACATGGGAGTCCAGCATAGACATTTCGACATCCGCCGGTCCCTGCAGGTCTCTCTCTTGGCAGCTCTGATTTTTTAGAGAACTGTCATTGTGTATTGAATTGTCTACTAGCAACAAGGACAGTCAAGCTGTGTAGGTTTTCTTTTTCAAGTGTACATTGTGTGCGGGGAAAATATGCAAATACAAAAATCAACAGTATGATAATGACTAAATGTGTGGTTTTCTTTAAGAGTTGTCTTGGTGAGAGACACAGACGTGTAACTATAAATCAGTGAGGATGTTAAGTGCTATATGCATATTTTGGACTAGGTTCACTGAACACAGAATGAAATAAAAATTAGGGGAGGATCACATATTGGGTAAAGAAGAAAATATCAAGCATTTCAGGCAGAATTCAAGGTAACTGCAAGCCCTGCGTTTATTTAGATTTAAAAAAATTTCATTTTATTTATCATTTTTATTGTTATTTTTAATTTGCTATAGGGCATATGTACTCACCAGAGAGAGACTGAGACAGAGAGAAAGAAAAAGTGAGAAAACAAGCCATCAGGTCTGTGACTCAAAGCATGGTTGACCGAGTGGGAGTACAGAGCTTTAACCACCATGCCACCTGCTGGCTCCTGGAAATTTTAATCATCCTTGCTCTCTTCCTGGCTCTTCTAAATTTAGCGACAGGAATCTAACTTACCTGAATTTAATTGTGCATTCTTTATCTAATAGCACCTCCTTGCCTGTGAATATCCACCTTGCTTTATCACTTAGCCAATCAAATAAATCAAGTACTCCAATGTTACTAGGGAAATTTTGTACTAGAATAGTGGTCCTTATCCATTTTTCTGCCATTATACCATTCCACTTCTGTTATTAATGCTGGGTCACAAGATAGCGATTCCTAAGGGGTACATACCTTTATTTAGGTAACCTGTCATTTTAGAGAATCAGGAGTATGTTATAGCTGTATCTGGGCTCCTGAGAGGAAGCATGCATCAGGAAGTTCAGAAAAGTCATGGTAGCTTAAAATGAAATGTAAATCAGCTGAAAAACTGGGCATCTCTTATCCAGAAGCATCACATAGTTTGTGTACTTCCGAGTCACAGTTCTCAAATATTAGCATTACCATGATTACATGCATGCATTAATTCGAAGGAAAATACAACACTAGAATGTAGTGGGCAGAGTGTAAGAGCTGGAAAAAAATAGATCTGAATCTTGCATGATGTTGGGAAGTTACTTAACTATTTTTTACTATGAATAGATGAGAGAATAAAAGCTACTTCCTAGGACATATAACAAACTTTAAAAGAAATGTTTGCTTATTTTTCAGATTTCGTTTCTAGTTCATGAGATAGCTTAAGAAAATAGGCCTTAAAAATGCCCCACTATATAGACTGAAGGCATTGAATATTAAAAAATTTGGCAAGCTTCAACTTCAGCCAACTTATCAGCAAGTATTTATTGTCTAGCTTTGCTCTTATACTAGGAGGGGGGAATCTTTTTTTTTTTTTTTTTGGAGAGATTTTCACTGTAGGGCGTGTGCGCTCGCCAGACAGACAGAGAGAGACATAGAGACAGAAAGCGAGAAATCACCCCCCAGGGGGGATGGTCACGCCGCAATCCCTTCTCCTCCATTCTCCTCTCGGGATCTTGGGCACGCACGCACACGCGCCCGGCGTGAGTTTTTTAAGCCACCGGGTCCAGGATGTGAACCGCGGTCGACTACATGGGAGTCCAGCGACATAGCCATTACGCTAACTGCTGGTTCCCAGAGGGGGGAATCTTAATAAAAGCATGCAGTACAAAATGGTCATTACCTTCAATATTGCTTACAATGTTATTTCTTTTTTTCTTTTTAATTTTTTTAAGCAATAGTTGCTATTATAGACTGAATTTTTTTTTCCACTCCCCACAGGAAAGCTTAGATATGCCAACAACAGCAATTACAAAAATGATGTCATGATCAGAAAAGAGGTATGTTATTTTTCAATGGTTACTTTTTAATGTTTCCCTGTTTTCATGTCTGTTGAATTTATGAAAGTACGTCTAATGCTATATTGTAGTGTCAATTTATAATTTGAAGAGTTTCCATTTAGATTAGATATAATTGTAGCTTTTTTAACAACAAAAGTAGTATGAATATATTTAATAGTAGTACCATATTTGAATATCTTACTTAATTCATTTTATAATTAACTTTTACTTTTTACTTTCTTCACTATTTGAAACTAGTTAATACTCATGATATAAAACATAAGCATGACTTAAGTGAAAGACTCAAAAGTTAGGACTAGGACAGTATAAAGTGCACTAATCGCAACACACACTTTGTCACTTTTCGTATGTCGTACATTGTCATCATTGACCACCTAGAGGCACTTGAGTCCTCATGATACAGGACAATACAAGGCTTGAAAAGGGGATTAGTGACGAGAAGAGGGAAAAGTCTGTATTAAAGAAAAGGGCGAGAGAGTGAAAAAAAATATTTTATAAGAAGGATGAAGTGTTGGAATCAAGTTTTTCTGACATTCTATTTGAATATGCAGGATTTATAACTCATTGTATTATTTCCTCTGAGTTGTGAGAAGACATGGGTGGGCATTTTGATATTTTATTATGATTTATTTTCAGGCTTATGTACACAAGAGTGTAATGGAAGAACTGAAGAGAATTATTGATGACAGTGAAATTACAAAAGAAGATGATGCTTTGTGGCCTCCTCCTGACAGGGTTGGCCGACAGGTTTGTATTTGATGATTTTTGAATGCATAAATATTAAAAATTGATATTACAATTACTGTGTTCACTCATATTTATTTAGAATGGGTCCTCATTATTTCTTTGGTTTTCCATTAAGTAGGCACCTGGTAAATACTCTTTAATTTTATTTCAGATAGCTTTATACTCTATGCTACCTTCTACTAGTAGTAAAGCAGTCAATGCATAGCTATAAATTTAGACATCCTCTGAATAATCCTGGTAGCTACCTTGGCCAAAGTTAGGATATTTTCACACTGTTATAATTTCTATTATATATTACTCACTTTTTTAAGGAATAAGATAAGTGTTTGCTAAATTCGAGATTTGAAATCTGTAGTGGTGTTGTAAAATTCACATTCTCCAAATTTATAACTTTCAAAATTCTTATTTTCATCCTTATGCCCCAGAAAGAGACTTGATTGGTTTCTTTGTTCAAACTGACAATGCGTTTGCCTCTCATATTCTCTTCAGAATAATTGATGTTTCTCAAAGGGCTTCTGAAGAACTCTGAAGGCCTAATTTCACTCTGTAGAAAGAAAGTTTGGTTTCTGAATTGGGTCTTTTCAACTCTTGGAGAAATGAGACACGACCTCTGGAAGGAAGAAACATTTAATTTCACTTTTGTATATTCCTGAGGATTATACTTTTTATCATCTTCTTTGACTAGAAGAAAATTGGAGAACTCTAACAGATGCTGACACACTATAGCCGTAACTTAACTCTTCTATTTAAAGAAACTTTATTTAGGAAAGAAAAGGTAATAGTTAACAGTATTTATTTTATGTATTATATCACTTTGAAAAAGTAAATTTAGACTTTTGTTTTAAGCACATATACATACGTATTAAAAAACTGAAATAATAGCAACTTTTTATATCTTTTAGACTGAGGGGTAGTTCAGTGTTGGTAGTTCAGTGTTTCATATATCTACTTGATGTTGTATTCTTGGCTTTTGATTAGTAGGAAAGAGTAGATGTGCTCCAGAAATTGCCTGTTGGATCATTAAGTCAAAGATTTTATGATGTTAAAGAATTCTTAGTTAATTCTTCACTATGTGCCATAAATTGCATGTTTATATCTTCTAATTAAATTTATAGCAGAAACTCTGTAAAGGCATTTGTTCATTAATTTAAATTGAAAACTCAATTATAGACATAAATGTTTGTTTGTTTTTGAAAGGTTTTTGCTACAGGGCACATATGCTCGCCAGAAAGACGCAGAGAGACAGAAAGTGAGGAATCACCCCCTGGGGGGTGGCCACGCTGCAGTCTCTTCTTTTCCATTCTTTCTTGGAATCTTGAGCACGCATGCATGTGCATCCGGCGTAATTTTTAAGCCACTGGGTCTGGGACTCGAACCGCGGTCGACTACGTGGGAGCCCAGAGACATAGCCATTATACTAACTGCTGGTCCATAGATATAAGTGTTTTAATTATTGGTTTTAGATTTGTAGATAAACAATGTAGAGAAACATTTGTTCTGGCCCATAGGAAGATCTGTGCTATGTTGTATTTGCTTTATTTTTTTTTTAATTTTTTTTTAAGGTTTTTGTCATAGGGTGCTTGCACTTGCTGGAGAGAGACAGAGAGAAAAAGTTAGAATCACCCCCCTGGGGGGTGGCCATGCCACAGTCCCTTCTCTTCCATCCTCCCCTTGGGATTTTGGGCATACATGGACATATGTCCAACATGATTTTCAAGCTGTTGAGGTAGGTCTTAAACCACAGTTGGCCTAGTTGTAGTCCAGTACCTTCACCAATATACCACCTGCTGGCCCCTGTTTTACTAGTTCTTAATTTAATTGTTTTGTGATGTCAAGAACTTTGTCTTTGAGTTTTATAGTCCTGAAGTCAAATATCAGTGCCATCATTTATTAGTGGTTGTAAATATGAACAAGTGTTTTCTTATGCTTTATGAATTTTAGATTATACATTTGTGAAATAGAATAATAAAGCCTACCATTTAAGATTTTTTTAGGTATTATAAGAATGTTTGCAAATGTTTCTCCAGCAACAAGATCTGACCCATAGTAGGTGCTAAAGTGGTAACTGTTAAGAATATTATTAATTGGGCTAGCAGGTGGCATGGTAGTTAAGGTGGCTGGACTCCCACATGGCTGGCTGTGGTTCTAGTCCCAGACCTGGTAGCTTTCTTTCTCACTTTTCTTCTCTTACTCTCTGTCTCTTTCTGGTCAACTTCAAATTAATAAAAACTAAAATAATGACAATGAATAAAATAACTCTAAAAAAATATACATTTTATTTGTAGGATCATGTAGAAAGAGAAATGTGTCTGTATTTGTTGTATTAAACTATAGGTTTATACTCACTATTTATAGAATGTGTGCTTTGAAGTGATCTCTTTAGTTTATACTGATTTTATAAGAAACATTCTGTGTTTTATAGTGTCTTCAGTATGTCTCTGGGAAGCATTTCTTGGTTGATCCTAAAATTTAGAATAGTGCTTGTGAGCAGTTGGTGAGGTTTTCATTTTAAGGATGTAATGTATATCTAACAGATTAGGTTTCTGTTGTTCTTCCCCTCCCTTATCTTTTATCTATTGAGGGCTAAAAAACTCATAACTAAAATTAAGACCTCTTTGTAGTAAGAATGCAGATCTTTCAGAGATAGACTTTTATATTAACATATTACTTTCTATTTTTTTTTTCCAGGAGCTTGAAATTGTAATTGGAGATGAACACATTTCTTTTACCACATCAAAAATTGGTTCTCTTATTGATGTAAATCAGTCAAAGTAAGTAAGTTAAATCATTGTGGCTAAATGAACATAATTTAATAGAGAGATTTATTTTAGAACCATGGTCAGTTTGTTAACTAAGGTTATTTTAATGGCATCCTATCAGTTTATTATGTAGATGTAATTCCAATTTTTATGTCATTAGACTTAGCTCTCTGTCAGGGTATTTCACTGATGGTCAAAATAATCTTTTTTTTCCAGAGATATTTTCATGATAGGGCATGTGTGATTGCTAGAGACACAGAGACAGAAAGTGAGAAATCACCTCCCAGGGGGGATGACCCATGCTACAATCCCTTCTCCATTCTCCTCTTGGGATTTTGGGCATGCATTCACATATGCCTGGCATGAATTTCAGGCCACTGGGTCAGGACTTGAACCACAGTTGGCCATGTGGGAATCCAGCAATGTAACTATCACACCATCTGCTGGTCCTTTTTTTTTTTTCCTCCCTGGAGAGAAAGTGAGAAATCAATAACCAGGGAGGATGGTTACACCACAGTCCCTTTTCTTTTTAGGGTTTTGGGCACACATGCACTTGCTCAGCATGTTTCTCAAGCTGCCAGGTTCAGAACTTGAATTGCACCTTGTGGGATCCAGTCACTTTAACTGTAGTGCTGCTGGCTGACCCTAATAATTTTTTTTTTTTTTTAAGAGATTTTTGCTATAGGACATGTGTACTCGCTAGAGAGACAGAGAATGAGAAATCATCCCCCATGGAGACGATGGCCACACCACAGTCCTTTCTCCATTCTCCTCTTGGGATTTTGGGCATGCATGTACACAGACCCAGCATGAGTTGTATCTTTTTTTTTGGAGAGGGTTTTGCTATAGGGCGCATGCACTTGTCTGAAAGACAGAGACAGACAGACAGAAAGCGAGAAATCACCCCTACCCCCCTGGGGAGCGGGGGAATGGCCACACTGCAATCCCTTCTCCTCCATTCTCTTCTTGGGATCTTGGGCACGCATGCACACATGCCTGGTGTGAGTTTAAGCCACCGGGTCTGGGACTTGAATCATGGTTGACTACGTGGGGGTCCAGCGACATAGCCATTATGCTAACTGCTGGTCCTCCCAGCATGAGTTTTAAGACACTGGGTCTGGGACTTGAACTGCGGTTGACAACATGGGAGCCCAATGACATAACCGTTATACCATCTGCTAGTCTCCCTAATAATTTCATTTTTGAATATCTGTTTTAGGGAACTATCTTCAAGTATTGGAAAAGCTTTCTTACGCATGAAGATGTTCATTGGAGTATTATTTTATAATGTGAAAATAATCCAAATGTCTAACAAGGAAAATTGTTAATTAAAAATGATCAGTGTTGGGGGCTGGCCAGTGGCATGGTGGTTAAGAATGCTGGACTCCCACATGGCCGACCACAGTTAAGAGTCCCAGACCTGGTGGCTTGCTTTCTCTCTCTAAAATCGCTCTCGCGCGCTCTCTCTCCCTCCCCCCCCCCCCACCCCTTCTCTGGTCAAATGAAAATAAATAAAGTTAGATAAAAGAATTGTTTAAAAAAATTATCAGTGAATTACTATATTTTTAATATTGTAGAAAACAATATAAAAATAAGCACAGGATATGAGTTTAGTTACAGAAAAAAGAAACATTAAAATATAGTTAACTCTGTTAGGGTGGTAGCATTACATTATTAGGAGTATTATTTTTTCTGCTTTATGCATTTTTATGATTTATAGCTATTATTTTCAGAAAAGAAACACTTTATATATGAAAGTGAATACTGCTAAGGAACTTTATATTTTTTCCTTACAAAAAAGAGAGATGTTACTCATCTAGTCTGTTCATTTTAGTTGTCAGTAAAATTCTTCTTTCTTCTAAATTCCGTGAACTTAATTGTCATTAAGTTTTTAAATTTTGTTTTATGTTTGGGATGAATTTATGAAATTATGTTTTATTCTTGCAAGAAAAAAGTAACTTTTACTTTTTTAAATTTTAGGGATCCTGAAGGCCTTCGAGTATTTTACTATTTGGTACAAGACCTGAAATGTTTAGTTTTCAGTCTCATTGGCTTACATTTCAAGATTAAACCAATTTAAAGTGTATGTTTTTGAAACTGTTTGTATATTTAATTAAGGATTGGGTAAGGGAAGGTTTATTTGTCATTTACAATATTGGAATTTGTATGAATGTGAAGCAAACAAAAATCATTTTTGTATGTAAACTGAAAATAAGAAAGTACATAAACAAGCTTACTAGTTATTCTCACTTGGATCTAAGTGGGGTGGGAAGTCCCCAGAAACATGAAATTTTGTAAATATAAATCCCCTTTTGTTGGAATTTTGCCTCAATAAAATACATCAAAGCCTGGATGGAGAGTGGGATTTTTGTTTTCAGGAGATTGTCTCTTGGTTCACTTTAAAGATAAGAGAAATTGTTGGACCAGCAGGTGGACTAGAGGTGAAGGTGACTGGATCCTACATCGCTGACCTTGTATTTGAATCCTTGCCTGCTGGCTTCAAAATCACATGTGTTGTACACCCAAAATCCCGAGAGGAGAACGGAGGAGAAGGGATTGCTGCATGGCCATCTCCTCTGGGAGGTGATTTTTCACTTTCCCTCCCTCTCTGTCTCACTATGGCAAGTGTGCCCTATAGCAAAAACAAAAACAAAACCCCTGAAATTGTGCTACTTGGTATCTCCTTTGGTAAAAGTTTCAGGTAGAAATACATAACCAATTTTCATCCAGTAGGTAATTACAGAAAGTTTACAAAAGCTTCTAGGATTTTGGGGGTTTTGTGTCTGTGTTTTTTTTTTGTTTGGTTTTTTGGAACCACAGACCCCTCAGGGATTATTTATATTTATATTTTTGGTTTGAGCAGTGACTTCCTAAATAATGACAAGAGTGAAGTCAGTACTTGTAGGGACGCCTTTGACTATGCCTTAATTTCTTATTTCACAGTATATGTATTTTGTGTTCATATGAAAACTAGATGAGTTCTCAGCTTTACAAATGCCTTAAAATTTAGAAATATATTTACATACATACAAGCATATATATTTTTTGACTTAATAAGTACAGGTCCCACTCATGTTTTCCAGTCCCTTTAATCTCTTTCTGGTAGACTTTATCTTTCATTACTTTTTATGTTAGTAGCTGTACCCCCTAGTATTTTTTTACTCTTATGAACTCCCACTTTTCAATATTGTGCAGTCCTGGTAGCTATAAGATATTTGCCCCAAGGGCCAGCCAGTACTAACTAGGGAAGAAGAATCTACATTTAATATTTGAAGACTACTGAGTAACTAGACTCTAGAGTACCTCTAATTAACATTTGCAATCATGGAAATGTTCTATTATCATCACAGCCCAATGGTGTAACCACTAGCTTGCATGGCTACTGATTACTTGAGATGACCTAGTGCAACTAAATTTAGAGTGCTGTTTATTTATTTATTTAAATTCTAACATGAAACATTTCAAACACAAAACTGATGAATTGTAAGATGAACACCTACATGACAATCTAGGTTCTGTAACATCTTTTTATTGTCTTATATAAAATCATCTGATTTTTTTCATATAACATGTAATTGGTGCTGATAGAATATGTTTTGTTTTATTTTTGTGTGTTTTAGTTAAGAGAGTGCGTCTGCTTGCCAGAAAGAGGGAGAAGCAGAAAGTACCCTTAATGGGTTGTGGCCATGCCCTAATAATCCCTCTTCCATTTCTATGTCCTGTTGTAATTTGAGGCCAAGCATGTACATGTGCACATGCTTTCAAACCATCAGGGCTGGAATTTGAACTGTGGCCGGTCATGTGGAATCCATCTCCCTTAACTAGTAGGTTATGGGGTAGTGGTATTTAATCTTGGTTAAATGTAGATGGCCACATGTGCTAGTGGCTGTGCTTAGATAGTGGAGCTCTAGAGCATGAATTGGTAGCCTGGTGGCTATGGAGCTGGTCCTTTTCACTGCTCAAAAATGCATGGCCATGGGAACCAGCAGTTAGCGTAATGGCTATGTCGTTGGACTCCCACATAGTCGACCGCAGTTCACGTCCCGGACCCGGTGGCTTAAAACTCACGCCGGGTGCGTCTGCATTCGTGCCCAAGATCCCGAGAGGAGAATGGAGGAGAAGGGATTGCAGCGTGACCATCCCCCCCTGGGGGGTGATTTCTCGCTTTCTGTCTATGTCTCTGTCTGTCTGGCGAGTGCATGCGCCCTATAGCGAAAACCTCTCCAAGAAAAAAAAAAAAAATGGCCATTCTCTTTCAGTTTGCCATGGGAAATCAAAGTCAACCAATTTTTCCTACATTGTGCAAAGCTTACACTGTCACCTTCAGTTCTCTCATAAGAAGGAACATCTTCCTGTATAAGTTGTAGACATTGATGAATATATAGTATAAAATGTTATAATTCTCTCAAAGGTCAACCTCAAGGAGAAAGGAACAATTACTGTTTGAACCTCTGTTTGGCCTATAGTTTTGGATTTTTTTTTCTCAAAACAACCTTTACTCCTTGGCTCCGGTTGAATAAGATGATCCACTCGAGACTGAACAAGGTTGGGGAGAAATAGTCATAATTAAAAAATCTTTTAACATATTAACTTAATTTTTTCCCCATTCTCTAACTTCCCTTTAATGATTTACTTATTTTGCTTTATCCCCACTATCTTCTAAGATTTCTCAGATTCAAACCAAGGTTAAAAAGTTGGTCATTAGAAAACTATGTTGTCTATGATTTTCTTATACCTTATTTGAACTTGCTCTTGATTATAAGGAGCTTGTTCACGATTGTTATTAGAAATTTAATACTGTACAGCATACTGTTGGATTGTTGATAAAGTCATGATGCATTTTTTGTATAGGAAAACATGTCATGACTTTTCTGACAATCTAATACGTATGAACCTAGATTTTTGCTGTACTTATGTCAGCTGACACATTTCTTATCTTCTCATGTAATAAAGGACCACTTGCAATAGTCAAACTTGTTTTCACATGTGGGTTTTACTCATCTTTCCTTTTCCCTTTCCTTGTGGTGGTATGTCACCTATACAGCATCTAGCCAAAGCATAGTGGCTTAAAGGAGCCAGATCCCACACGAATGACCATGGTTTGAATCCTGGCCCTGGCAGCTCGAGAAACCTGCTGGGTGGGTGTCCCTGCATACCCCAAATTCCAATACCATGGAGAAATGTAAGAGAAGGGAGTGCAACATGATCATGCTCCATGGAGAGTGTTTTCTTCCTTTTTCTGTATGTCTCTGGTGAGGCCACACAACCTTTGGTAATTAAAAATAGAACAACGGGACCAGCAGTTGGCATAATGGCTATGTTGCTGGATTCCCCTGTAGTCAACTGCGGTTCAGGTCCCACACCTGGTGGCTAAAACTCACGCCAGGTACATGGGCTTGCATACCCAAGATCCACAGAGGAGAATGGAGGAGAAGGGATTGCGGTGTGGCCATCCCCCCTGGGGGTTTGATTTCTTGCTTTCTGTCTCTCTGTTCCTCTCTCTCCTTCAGGTGAGCACAGGTACCCTGTAGCAAAAAACCTCTGAAAAAAAGAAAAAAAAAAAAGAAAAGAAAAGAAAAAGAAAAACAGATACAGTGTAGCAAGGAATGAGAAGGATCTGTATGATCTGCCATACCCTACCTATTTTATTTTCTAATATTAATTTAATTTTGAGTTTCCAGGTTCTGTGTCTGATTTTTGGAGTTGTAAGTGCATGGGCCAGCAGGTGGCGTAGTGGTTATGGTACTAGACTCCCACGTGGCCAACTATAGTTTAAGTCCCAAACTCAGTGGCTTGAAACTTATGCTGGGCACATGTATGTGCATGCCCAAAATTCCTAGAAGATAATGGAGAAGGGATTGTGGCATGATCTTTCCCCTGGGGGTTGATTTCTCACTTTTTGTGTCTCTATCCCTCTGGTGAGTGCATGTACCCTATAGCAAAAAGCTCTCAAAAAACAAAAACGAAAACAGACAAGTATTTCATCAATATCTGGCTGAGTTGTATTCTTGTGGACTTTTAAAATATAAATGATAACATTATTTTATATATCCTATTATTAGATTACTTCTTGATTTGAAATGTGTAAACCTGTAAATATGGATTATGCTGTAAGTTCAACCCCTGCTCCACATATTATTTTTTAGAAAAGTTATTTATTAGAGTAGAAAATGCTGAATGGGTTTACCAACCGATGCATTGATTCATAATTTTCAATGACCTTTCTAGAACACCAGAACAATTCATGCACAATATAAAAAGAATAAATAAAATGAAAAAGATGTACCAAGCAGTGTTTTTTTTTTTTTTTCTCCTTTTTTGGAGAGGTTTTTGCTATAGGGCGCATGCGCTCGCCAGACAGACAGAGACATAGAGACAGAAAGTGAGAAATCACCCCCCAGGGGGGATGGTCATGCCACAATTCCTTCTCCATTCTCCTCTCGGGATCTTGGGCATGCACTCACATGCACCCTGCGTGAGTTTTAAGCCACTGGGTCCGGGACATGAACCGCGGTCAACTATGTGGGAGTCCAGTGACATAGCTATTATGCTAACTGCTGGTTCCCCCAAGCAGTGTTTTGAAGAAAGCTGGTATAGCAATATTAGTACAGTGATAGGAAGGAACAATTCATTCTGATAGTGTGCCAGGAAGAAATAACTATGATAACCATGGCATAATGGTTACATCACTGGACCCTCATGTAGTGGACCTTGGTTTGAGTCCCAGACCTAGAACCTTGACACTCATGCCAGGCATGTGTATGTGTGTGCGTGTGTGTCCAAATTCCCAAGAAGAGAGTGAAGGAGAAGGGGTTGTGGCGTGGCAGCCCCCTGGGGGGGGGGCGTGATTTCTTGCTTTCTGTCTCTTTGGCTCTCCAGCGAGTGTATGTGCCCTATAGCAAAAGTCTCTCAAAACAACAAAACAGCCTAGAAAAATATAAAGGAAAAAGTCACATCTCACACTCACCCTCCACCATCCACTCTCCCCCCTTTACAATGTAGCATTTACATTCATCCTTTCTGCCATTGCATTTTCTAGTCTCTCAATCTGCTGTAGCATTCAATACAAACTGAGGGGATATGTAATACAATGTCTATCTTTCAAAGTCTAACTCACTTCACTCATGTTCTTGCAATTGTAAATAATGCTACAATAAACATGGATATGCAAATGTCTTTCCTATGAGTGTTTTCCTATCCTTGGGTGAGTACCAAGAAGAGGGATTACTAGGTCACATAGAAATTCTATTTGTAGGTTTTTGAAAACCCACCATATTGTTTTCCACAGAAGTTGGACTAATTTACATTCCCACCAGCAGTGTAAGAGTTCCCTTTTCACCATGGCCTCACCAA